GCAGCCCCTTCCCAGGAGCCTGTCTGATCCAGCTCATGTAATAGCTGCTAAATGTGAACCCAGATGTTGTACAGGTCAGTCTGTGGGACTCTCCTGGTCTTTTCACAGTTGGACCAGATTCAGTCAGAGTCTGAGCAAAAGACACCTGTGGAAACAAGCCAAAACTGTATTTAAATTCATCCTGCTGTCATTTACCAGTATTAGTCCAGAGCAACAGTTCACCTGTCCAGTATGTGACAAACACAAGTGCTGTCCTGTAGTCCATTTGTTCAAGGTTCACAGCTCTGTTTCCTCTCCACACAGAGTTAAATAGAGGAGAGGATTTCAGGTTTGCGTTTGCTCCTCCCCAAAGTTTATATATTGCCACATGTTTTGGTTATAAAAATCAATGGTGGCAGGATGGTTGGTGGTTTAAGCAGCACACCTTTCAAGACACCCAAAGTGCTTTTAAATTGCATTATTCATTCATTCTCCACACACAGGGTTTCTAAGCCAACTTTTACACTCTATTTATTAACTGATTTATGACAAAATATAAATTCAGAGTTTGATCCTACTGCTAAATTCAACTGAAATCACAAACACGTACAATTTCAAGATGCATTTTTAGAAACAGATAGTTAAAGTGTGAAGAAATTATAGGGCCTATAAAAACCATCCCTTGTGGGTCCCCAACATCACATATCAATATATCAGCCACAAACTTGTTTCAATATTATTCTATTCTACCTACACTACAACTATGTTTGTATTATGTGTTTCACCAGGGCCTCTTCTATTCTTCAACTACTTCTAATCACTATGAATAAATGGTGAAAACAGATTTACCTCTCTGTCATCATTTGAAGAGCACAAACATCAAAATCTTGCATTTCATTATATTCATGGGTATAAATTGGACATTTTAAGCAGATTCTATCAAATGTTTTTTTTTTTTTTTGTGAGAATACTGCTAAAACTGATGAAACATCCCACTATTTTTTATGTATTGTCTCCTAAAAATCCTGAAAAAAGAAAATCAGTCATGTTTTTGTCATGGTGTTTTTCACTGTGGTAGCTGCTCCCATAAACTCACCGTGATCCACCTCTGCACATAAACTCCCCCTGCTGTTTGTCACTATAACTAATGCTGCAACATCAGGAGGATTTCATGATCACTGACACACACACAACTAGAATCTGAACAGACACACACTTGAATCAGATGTGATGTTTTAATTGTTGTTTGTTGTTTTATGTTTGTCTTGTGAATGTAGTTAGTCCATGAATGAAGCAGTGCTGTTTCTATTTTTTTCTTATTATGCACATAAAACAATGACTCAGGTTATAAACAAATGAAAATGATTTGATCTAAATCTATGAGTCATTGTTCACTGATATGTCTATCTGTAGATGACACACAAACACATGAGAGAGTCACAGGGAGGAGCTGAACAAAAACTACACTGGAAATAAAGACAGTTCTGATCTGTTAGTGGTCTAAATGGATCCATAAAACCAATAAATATTAATACCATTTTCATCTTCTGACGTTACATTCTGTTACAGCTTTCTCACTGTCAAACACAAAACATAACAGTATCCTGAAAGAAATCATTGCTATTTCATTTTTTTCACTATATAGATATAACTTTTTTTTTTATACCATGTTTTAAATCAATTCTAATTCACAAGTGATTCATGCATGTCTGAGTCTTTTTTATTTTCCAGCAATCAAGAGACCATTGCTTTGAAAATCCACGCCTATTGCTATATTCTACTCTTATTTTTGTTATAACTTTAGTGAGGATTAAAATAAAAATAACAATGATTTAATTTAATGAGTGACTGGGTGGGCATCTCTGGTACTGTACTAAACTGGTTCAAGTCCTATCTAGAAGACAGGAAGTATTTTATTGAAATTGGAAACTGTGTCTCAGATCACATGGCCCTGACCTGTGGGGTGCCTCAGGGGTCAATCCTGGGCCCCCTGTTGTTCAATCTCTACATGCTGCCATTAGGCCAGTTAATAAGCAGCAATAACGTGTCCTACCACAATTATGCAGACGACACTCAGATCTACGTCTCACTGGCAGCAGGAGACTATGGACCAGTGGACTCACTTGGTCACTGCATCCAACAGATCAATGTGTGGATGCAAAACAACTTTCTCCAGCTAAACTCTGACAAGACTGAAGTCATAGTGTTTGATCCACAGAAACAAAGCATCACCTCCAGTCTCTCTCTCTAAAACCTTCAAATCAGGCAAGAAATCTAGAGGTAATAATGGACTCAGACTTGAACATGAAAAAACATAGCAAAAATCAAAGGTTTACTGTCTAAAGCAGTCTTGGAGAAACTTATCCATGCGTTTGTCTCCAGTAGGTTAGATACTGTAATGGTTCTCTCACTGGTCTCTCCAAACGAGCTGTGAGACGCTGCAGAACATCCAGAACACTGCAGCTCGGGTCCTTACTCGAACTAGGAAGTACGAGCACATAAGTTCCTGTGCTCAGGTCTCTGCACTGGCTTCCTCTGCCTCAGAGAATAGACTTTAAAAGCAGCTCTGTGCTTGTGTACAAGTCTCTCCATGGCCGAGCACCAAAGTACATCTGTGACATGTTAGTGTCATATGAACCATCTCGCTCTCTGAGGACCTCAGGGACCGGCCTCCTGCTGGTGCCCAGAGTCACGACTAAACAAGGGGAGTCAGAGTTTCAGGTTCATGCAGCTAAAACCTGGAACAGTCTGAACATGTGAGACAGACTCTTCTGTGACGCTGTTTAAATCCAGGCTCAAAACATTTCTGTTTAACTGTGCATATGACTGAAAGGTTTTCATTCCACAGTCTTCTCTCCAATTAATGTCTCTCTTTTCAAATTTTAATCTTCATGATTATTTATGTTTTGATTTGTTTTTATTATGATTTTAATGTATTTCTTATTCTGTAAAGCACTTTGAATTACTTTGTGTACGAATTGTGCTATACAAATAAACTTGCCTTGCCTTGCCTAATGAGTTTTTTCAGAGTAACATGGAATGCAGTTTTTTTTTTTGTTTTTTTAATAAACCACACTGTTTTTGACAGTATAAAAAAATATCAGGATGTAATGTAAAACTGTAACATATTTCATATTCATATTATTCACCAGATTAATTTCAGAAGATTGAAAGATCATTATTTACTTTAGTGGAGTTTTTGTTCAGCTCCTCCATGTGACTCTCTCACTGTGCTCTCGGGCACAGTAGTACACAGCCGTGTCCTCAGTCTGGAGGTTGTTCATCTGCAGATACAGCTGGTTTCTGCTGTTGTCTCTGGAGATGGTGAACCTGCCTTTCACTGACTCAGAGTAAGCAGTGCCCCCACTGGGGTAAATGATAGTCAACCACTGCAGTCCCTTCCCAGGAGCCTGTCTGATCCAGCTCATGTCATAGCTGTTTACTGTAAACCCAGATACTGTACAGGTCAGTCTGTGGGACTCTCCTGGTCTTTTCACAGCTGGACCAGATTCAGTCAGAGTCTGAGCAAAGACACCTGTGGAAACAAGCCAAAACTGTATTCAAATTCATCCTGCTGTCATTTACCAGTATTAGTCCAGAGCAACAGTTCACCTGTCCAGTATGTGACAAACACAAGTGCTGTCCTGTAGTCCATTTTGTTCAAGTGTCCACGGCTCTGTTTCCTCTACACACAGAGGTTAAATAGAGGAGAGGATTTCAGGTTTGCATTGGCTCCTCCCCAGTGACAATTGTTGATACATGTTTGAAGGCTCTGAGGAGTAAATACCCAAGAATTACAGAATACAGTTTGGTTGTTTTGCACGTTTCAAGCACCAGGGCCTGAGCTGCTGCTACACTGAGCAGTGAAGTAGTTCAAATTAGGCTAAAACAATAGTGTAAATTCACCAAACACAATGGCAAACATGTCCTTATTCATTTGAGAGAACGCTGAATCCATCATGCATTTCAGCACAAGTTTGAGTCTAAAACTACACAGTTAACAGGTGTACAGAATATGACCCATGGAGACACAGATATTTCTTGTTTCAAGAAAATGTCTTAAAATTCCAGAGTTAAAAACAGGTGCAATAATTATCATGACGTCTAACACAACTTTATTGAGAGTCCATCGTTAAATTAACACTAACAAGAGTCAACCTTCATCTGCAATGGTTTGGACAATAGTGCAGAGGGTGGAGCATCTGTCCCTGGTTATAGTGGCTTTGAAGAGGACAATGACTTCACGTTCATAAATGATTCTCTGTAGTTTTGTTTGTAGCAGGTTTTTGTAGTGGCTTATTTCACTGTGCCCCCCCCACACAGTGACACACACACATGCAAAAACCACTGACTGCTTTCCTGTCCTTCCTGAACATGAGCGCAGGACAAAATACAGGCCTCTTATTCTTAAGTTAGTTTAACATGTTTTTTTTTTAATGCCAACTTTTTCACCTTATTGTAACATTTAATTGAAATGTTTTGTTATAGAAAACTTTTTATTGTCACTATTAATTATTCAAGTGTGATTATTATATATAATTGTATTATTATTTTGCAAACACACATTTATGAACAAAATTAACTGAATTTAACTAGTAAACATACTTGTGACAAAAAAGTATTAACTCTTTGATTATGTAAAACAATTGGGTTAGGATATTATAAGTTTAGTTGTTTTTATTTTTTATTTCATCCTACTCCTTTTGAGCACCAGGTCTCAAATAGGTACATGTACATGTGTTACCTTTCTCATTTAAATAAATAAATAAATAAATAAAATCATACATCATTGCTGGCTGAAGAGCATCTGACATTAAAAAAAAAAAGCGCTCTCATATTGGTGTGCAGCTGGTTTACTCTGATAATTATCCAAATGTAAAAAAAATAAATAAATCATAATACAATTATAGATTTAATAATAATAATAATAATAATAATAATAATAATATATAATAAAATAATAATAAATAATAATAATAATAATAATAATAATAATAATAATGGAGCTAAAACTATCCCCTGCAGGTTCCTAAAATTTCACATTTTGAATAAAGCCTCATCTTCATCTAAGCCCAGACAATAAAAACAGTTTTATCTTGTAACAAATGACATGTATTTCTCAAAAGCTTAAGTATATACATAAACATTATATTATATTTAAACTTGTCACAGTTCGGGGGTGGTGGACTTTTATGTCATTTCTAATCAAATGGCACCGGTTATTTTGAACAAAGCTTAGATCATTTAGATTTTATAGTGATTTGAAAGGTAAAATATGTATAATATTTGTAATTGCTTGTGGTTGTGATTTTAACATAGAAAAATAAAAATGTCACATTTTGTTGTAATTGTGTTAGAGTGAATGTCCAGTCTGTGTTTGAGAGGAACATCCACAGCAGCTCTTGGTTGGATGTTTTTGTACATGAGCTTCATTCTTCCTGTCACTGTGCTTGTCGGGCACAGTAGTAAACAGCAGTGTCTTCTGCTGTCAGACCTGTGATCTCCATGTACTGGGTGCTGCTGGGGACATTTTCAGTCAGAGTGAAGCGTTGTTGAAAGGCACTGGCGTAAGTTGGTGCGTTATTTCCAGTGTTCATCCACCCAATCCAGTCGAGCCCTTGTCCTGGTCTCTGTCGTATCCAGTGCATGTTGTAGCTTGTCATAGAATAACCTGATGTAACACAGGACATCTTCACACTTTCTCCAGCTCTTTTCACCAGAGAAGATGGCTGCTCCAGTCTGATCTCTGTCCACACACCTGTACAAGAAAAAATCCATGAATTTAATATACACTTAAACATTTTCAAATCACAATTCAAATGTCATAATTATTAAAGTCTTACAGTGAATTGTAGCTATAAATAATAATGTTAGTAAAAGATATTTTGCCATTTTGAAAAACAGATTTGTGTTAAATGTTGCAGTTCAATCTGGTTTCTGTGGCACAGAATAACTTAGTGGTGCTTTTAAAGTGTGTATAATTTGCATATACAGTAACTCCCTCTGCTGGACACAGACAGTAATGCTGATTGTAATTTCATTGTTTGTTCTCTCATTCAATGACAACAATCAAACTATAGTTTAATGAAAGATTATGTCATAATTAGTGCTAAACTGGGAACCTTCATGTGTTTCAGATGCTTCTTCTTCTTTTCATAAGACAATTTTAATAGAAACAGTTTTCTTATCAAAATGTTACGTTTATTTATATTCATGGAAAACAAGAATATCTGACATCAATTCATTGAGTGTTTATGGTGACAATAGTGATAGTGGAAACACTGCACTATTTTTAGCCAGTAGAGAAGAGCACAGTGAACAGAGGAAGTAGTTTTTGTCCCAGCGCTCTGTTATTCTGTCTCATTGTGTCTCTTCTGGCACAGTAATACAGCGCAGTGTCCTCTGTCCTCAGACCGCTCATCTGCAGATACACCTGGCTGCTGGAGTCGTCTCTGGAGATGGTGAAGCGTCCCTCCACTGACTTGGAGTAGTAGATTGGAGAACTGGCTGTGCTGATATATGCAATCCACTCCAGACCTTTACCTGGAGCCTGTCTGATCCAGCTCCATCGATGGCTACTGAAGTCTAACCCAGAGGTAGTACATGTGAGTCTATGGGATTCTCCAGGACGTTTGATGGCTGATCCAGACTCTGTTATGGACCAAGCATGAACAATATTGAAAAGGCACACAGCACACAGCAGTATAGTGAAGTGTGTAACAGCCATTGTAGCACAGTGCTGCTGTCAACAGTGTGGTTCTCATTTAATATATCAGCTTTACTCAAGCTCCTCCCACTATCCAAACTATGACCATAAACCCAAATTTATGAACAACTTGATGAAAATAAATATTTAAATATGTATTTACATATTATATAATAAGTGCTGGAGGCTGAATAAAGGAGGCTGTCGGTGAGAGAAATTTAAAAAGTATCTTAGAAGAAATTCGATGAGAGAGTGAAACAAGATATTTTCAACTCCATATGATTTTGATTCAGAAAAGTTTAGTTTACAGCTCTATGTATGTATGTATAAATATGTCAGGACTCTAGATGTTCTTGGAGTCATGTTTTTTGTCATGGTGTTTTTCACTGTGGTAGCTGCCATGTGCACAGTGACACACCTCTGCACATAAACACCCTGTCTGTCCTGTCTGTCTGTCTGTCTGTCTGTCTGTCACTCTAACTGCTGCTCAACTATAGGGAGGATTCCATTATAGATCTATTCACTGTCAAACAAATCTACTTTTGGGCTCACAGTCACCTCAAACATTGGTGTCAAAAAACAAATAAAAAACAAATACTTTTTTTTTTTTTTTATGAAAACTGAAACATTTTGAGACACTTTTGGAATTACTTTGTAAAAAGAAGTAAACATTTTTGATCAACTTGGCCTTTCCCCGTTAGAGCAATAAAGGACACCAGGTCTGTAGCTGCTACCACAGTGAGGAGTGAAGCAGATCAAATAAACATTAAAAACAGAGGAGTCATGTTTTGCAGTTTTAATTCACACCGTGGAGTCACTGTAACTGCTGCTCAACTGTGGCTCAGGAGGATTTTAGTTTTAGTCAAATTTCTCTGCAAAAGTTAAGCACAAATCAAGAAATGTTTATAAGGTGTCAGATTTTAAAATAGCTACATTACAATAGCTAAACAAAAATTCAGAACTTAAGAAGCTGCTCAGATGAAAACTCAGAAAGCTTTTGTCCAGTCCAGAATTGATTTTTTCTTTTACTGTGGATCCTACCTGGACGACTGACGAATTAAACAAAACAGCTGCATTACTACTTTAAAATAACTCATATATATCAAGACTTAAATAATTAATTAGTAAACAAAGATTTAATTTATAAAAAAAAAGTTAATATATTATTTGCTCATCATGAATTATGTGTTTATTTGTGTTTAAGATGAATTAATCTGCATTTATTATAAAGTGTGACTCAATATTTTAGAACCACATGCACTTAAAGCTTCAGTGACATTTTGCTGTGTATAGGGCGACCCCTCTGGTTGTTATTGTGAATTGCACCCTTTAATGTTTTTGTACAGTTGTAGATATACTTTGTGTCACTGTGCTCTCGGGCACAGTAGTACACAGCCGTGTCCTCAGTCTGGAGGTTGTTCATCTGCAGATACAGCTGGTTTCTGCTGTTGTCTCTGGAGATGGTGAACCTGCCTTTCACTGACTCAGAGTAATAAGTAGTGCCCCCACCACCGCTAATGGAAGCCAGCCACTGCAGCCCCTTCCCAGGAGCCTGTCTGATCCAGCTCATGTAATAGCTGCTAAATGTGAACCCAGATGTTGTACAGGTCAGTCTGTGGGACTCTCCTGGTCTTTTCACAGCTGGACCAGATTCAGTCAGAGTCTGAGCAAAGACACCTGTGGAAACAAGCCAAAACTGTATTCAAATTCATCCTGCTGTCATTTACCAGTATTAGTCCAGAGCAACAGTTCACCTGTCCAGTATGTGACAAACACAAGTGCTGTCCTGTAGTCCATTTTGTTCAAGTGTCCACGGCTCTGTTTCCTCTCCACACAGAGTTAAATAGAGGAGAGGATTTCAGGTTTGCATTGGCTCCTCCCCAAAGTTTATATATCACCACATGTTTTGGTTATGAAAATAGATGATGGCAGGATGGTTGGTGGTTTAAGCAGCACACCTTTCAAAACACCCAAAGTGCTTTTAAATTGCATTATTCATTCATTCTCCACACACAGGGTTTTGTAAGCCAAGTTTTACATGTATTTATTTATTGATTTATTATCAAAATATAAATTCAGAGTTTGTCCCTAGTGCTAAATTCAACTGAAATCACAAACACATACAATTTCAAGATGCATTTTTAGAAAACAGATAGTTAAAGTGTGAAGAGTTATAGGGCCAAAACTGTCCCTTGTGGGTCCACAACATTACATATCAAGATAATACAATACAATATAATAATATAATACTATAATTCTGCTGTCAGACCTGTGATCTTCATGTACTGGGTGCTGCTGGGGACAATTTCAGTCAGAGTGAAGTGTTGAAAAGCGCCCGCGGTATTTAATTATATGAGCAAATGTCATAATTCACCATGTCTATTCACAGCTCATTTACATATCAGGCAGGTCAGTAGCAAATATTCGGCCAATATAGTCACTTTAGAACAGACCAATAGAAACAGTCTGTTTATGTGCGGGAGCTACAGCAGCTAACCCATAACAAATGACAAAAACTAGCTTCAGAGTCGACATATTTCCCAACACTCACCGCTCACACAGGCTCTCCTCACATCACAAATCTGCACTAATAAATGTCCTTTTATCCAGACGCAAAACCGATTGTCCGTAAAAAGAATATAATCTCATGTTTGGATCTGTGTCTGCATGTGTAAACAAAAACGTGAGTGACGCGACTCTGTGGTGTGTTCAGGGACAGTACGGAACACACAGACAAATGACTCCGTAGATAAATACTGATGTGGAGCCACATATTAGGATATTTATCTGTCTGTAAATTGGAATTAAATGAACACAATGTAGAGAGTCTAAGCTTTATAAAGAGGTTATAACATGCCCACGTGAAATATCAGCCCTATCAGCAAGCATATCGGCCGATAGACGATATGCCTAAAGTTGCCCATATCAGCCGATAATATCGGCCAACCGATATATCGGTCGGGCTCTAGTTATAAACATATGAAAATGATCTGATCTAAATCTATGAGTCATTGTTCACTGATATGTCTATCTGTAGATGACACACAAACACATGAGAGAGTCACAGGGAGGAGCTGAACAAAAACTACACTGGAAATAAAGACAGTTCTGATCTGTTAGTGGTCTAAATGGATCCATAAAACCAATAAATATTAATACCATTTTCATCTTCTGATGTTACATTCTGTTACAGCTTTCTCACTGTCAAACACAAAAACATAACAGTATCCTGAAAGAAATCATTGCTATTTCATTTTTCCACTATATAGATATAATTTATTTATTTATTTTTTATACCATGTTTTAAATCCCTTTTAATTCACAAGTGATTCATCCATGTCTGAGTCTTGTTTATTTTCCAGCAATCAAGAGACCATTGCTTTGAAAATCCACGCCTATTGCTATGTTCTACTCTTATTTTCTTATAACTTTAGTGAGGATAAAATAAAATAACGATGATTTAATTTAATGAGTTCTTTCAGAGTAACATGGAATGCAATTTATTTTTATTTTGTTTAAATAAACCACACTGTTTTTGACAGTATAAAAGCAATATCAGGATGTAATGTAAAACTGTAACATATTTCATATTCATATTATTCACCAGATTAATTTCAGAAGATTGAAAGATCATTAATTACTTTTGTGGAGTTTTTGTTCAGCTCCTCCATGTGACTCTCTCACTGTGCTTGTCGGGCACAGTAGTACACAGCCGTGTCCTCAGTCTGGAGGTTGTTCATCTGCAGATACAGCTGGTTTCTGCTTGTCTCTGGAGATGGTGAACCTGCCTTTCACTGACTCAGAATAATAAGTAGTGCCCCCACCGCTGTTAATGTAAGCCAGCCACTGCAGCCCCTTCCCAGGAGCCTGTCTGATCCAGCTCATTCATGTAATAGCTGCTAAATGTGAACCCAGATACTGTACAGGTCAGTCTGTGGGACTCTCCTGGTCTTTTCACAGCTGGACCAGATTCAGTCAGAGTCTGAGCAAAGACACCTGTGGAAACAAGCCAAAACTGTATTCAAATTCATCCTGCTGTCATTTACCAGTATTAGTCCAGAGCAACAGTTCACCTGTCCAGTATGTGACAAACACAAGTGCTGTCCTGTAGTCCATTTTGTTCAAGTGTCCACAGCTCTGTTTCCTCTCCACACAGAGTTAAATAGAGGAGAGGATTTCAGGTTTGCATTGGCTCCTCCCCAGTGACAATTGTTGATACATGTTTGAAGGCTCTGAGGAGTAAATACCCAAGAATTACAGAATACAGTTTGGTTGTTTTGCACGTTTCAAGGCACCAGGGCCTGAGCTGCTGCTACACTGAGCAGTGAAGTAGTTCAAATTAGGCTAAAACAATAGTGTAAATTCACCAAACACAATGGCAAACATGTCCTCATTCATTTGAGAGAACGCTGAATCCATCATGCATTTCAGCACATTTGTAGAGTCTAAAACTACACAGTTAACAGGTGTACAGAATATGACCCATGGAGACACAGATATTTCTTGTTTGGAGTTGTAAAAATGTCTTAAAATTCCATAGTTAAAAACAGGTACAATAATTATCATGAAGTCTAACACAACTTTATTGAGAGTCCATCGTTAAATTAACACTAACAAGAGTCAATCTTCATCTGCAATGGTTTGGACAATAGTGCAGAGGGTGGAGCATCTGTCCCTGGTTATAGTGGCTTTGAAGAGGACAATGACTTCACGTTCATAAATGATTCTCTGTAGTTTTGTTTGTAGCAGGTTTTTGTAGTGGCTTATTTCACTGTGCCCCCCCACACAGTGACACACACACATGCAAAAACCACTGACTGCTTTCCTGTCCTTCCTGAACATGAGCGCAGGACAAAATACAGGCCTCTTATTCTTAAGTTAGTTTAACATGTTTTTTTTTTTTTTTAATGCCAACTTTTTAACATTATTGTAACATTTAATTGAAATGTTTTGTTATAGAAAACTTTTTATTGTCACTTTTATTTAAGCATGATTACTATATATAAGGGTATTATTATTTTGCAAACACACATTTATGAAAGAAATGAACTGAATTTAACTAGGAAACATACTTGTGACAAAAAAAAAAAAAAAAAAAAGAAAAAAAAGTATTAATAACTATTTGATTATGTAAAACAACTGGGGTAGGACATTATAAGTTTAGTTGTTTTTTTTTTTTTTTCATCCTACTCCTTTTGAGCACCAGGTCTCAAATATGTACATGTTTTACCTTGCTCAATTAAATAAATAAATAAATAAATAAATAAACAAAATCATACATCATTGCTGGCTGAAGAGCATCTGACATAAAAAAAAAAAAAAAAAAAGCACTCTCATATTGGTGTGCAGCTGGTTTACTCTGATAATTATCCAAACGTAAAAAAAAAAAAAAAATATAATAAAATTATAGATTAATAGTTATTATAATAATAAATAATAATTAATTAATAATAATAATAATAATAATAATAACAATAATAATAATAATAATAATAATAATAATAATAATAATGTGAAGAGCTATGGAGCTAAAACTGTCCCCTGCAGGTTCCTAAAATTTCACATTATGAATAAAGCCTCATCTTCATCTAAGCCCAGACAATAAAAACAGTTTTATCTTAACAAATGACATGTATCTTTCAAATGCTTAAGTATATACATAAACATTATATTATATTTAAATTTGTCACAGTTCAGGGGTGGTGGACTTTTATGTCATTTATAATCAAATGGCACCGGTTATTTTGAACAAAGCTTAGATCATTTAGATTTTATAAGTGATTTGAAAGGTAAATATGTGTAATAATAATATAATAATAATATAACTGCTTGTGGTTGTGATTCTTAACATAGAAAATAAAAATGTCACATTTTGTTGTATTTGTGTTAGAGTGAATGTCCAGTCTGTGTTTGAGAGGAACATCCACAGCAGCTCTTGGTTGGATGTTTTTGTACATGAGCTTCATTCTTCCTGTCACTGTGCTCTTCGGGCACAGTAGTAAACAGCAGTGTCTTCTGCTGTCAGACCTGTGATCTCCATGTACTGGGTGCTGCTGCTGGGACATTTTCAGTCAGAGTGAAGCGTTGTTGAAAGGCACTGCATAAAGTTAGCAGCATTTTCCTGTGCTCATCCACCCAATCCAGTCGAGCCCTTGTCCTGGTCTCTGTCGTCTGTCACAGTGCATGTTGTTGTACTTGTCATAGAATAACCTGCAGATGTAACACAAGTGTGGACAGTAATCTTCACTGATTGTAACTTCTCTCATTCATGCTCTTTTAAACATCCAGATGAAGATAGAAACAGTTTTCATGTTAAAAACAAAAATATCTGACATCAATTCACTGAGTGTTTATGGTGACAATAGTGATAGTGGAAACATTGCCCTATTTTTAGCCAGTAGAGAAGAGCACAGTGAAGAGAGGAAGTAGTTTTTGTCCCAGCGCTCTGTATTCTGTCTCATTGTGTCTCTTCTGGCACAGTAATACAGCGCAGTGTCCTCTGTCCTCAGACCGCTCATCTGCAGATACACCTGGCTGCTGGAGTCGTCCTCTGGAGATGGTGAAGCGTCCCTCCACTGACTTGGAGTAGTAGATTGGAGTACTGGCTGTGTGCACTAACGCAATCCACTCCAGACCTTTACCTGGAGCCTGTCTGATCCAATTCCACACAGAGCTACTAAAACTTAACCCAGAGGTAGTACATGTGAGTCTATGGGATTCTCCAGGACGTTTGATGGCTGATCCAGACTCTGTTATGGACCAAGCATGAACAATATTGAAAAGGCACACAGCACACAGCAGTATAGTGAAGTGTGTAACAGCCATTGTAGCACAGTGCTGCTGTCAACAGTGTGGTTCTCATTTATATATCAGCTTTACTCAAGCTCCTCCCACTATCCAAACTATGACCATAAACCCAAATTTATGAAAAACATGAATGAAGTAAGTAAATATTTTAAACACACAACCAGTCAAAAGTTCAGACACACTTCTTCATTTTTGCTCTTTCTTTATTTTCATGATTATTTATATTGTGGATTCTCACTGAAAGTATAAAAACTATGAATGAATATATATGGAATGTTGAAAAAAAAAATAACCTTGATATAACTGCAGACTTCTTTTAGAATTTAGATTTTAAAGAGGGCATATTGCACTTCTGTGGGGTATTAACCACACATTAACACAACATATTCAGATCAACATGTTACTATTGTTTTTCAAAATTCTGTAATCATCAAAAACAAGGTATTAACTTGTTTTTATAAGTTTCAGTTTAGTTTTTCACACCCTCTTTGCTCGTTCTTCATTTTACATTCGACTAATGAAACAACTGCACTTCGCATTTGGTTTGTGAAGTTGTAGTGTTTGTTTTGTGTCATACTTTTCTTTATTAGTGGAAAGTTGTTGTGTGGGAGCATGGGTGACATAGGCTTGTGGGCTGAGCTTTGGATAGGATCGTATTTCCAATCGTAAGGAGGGTTCGAGGCTCGGGAGAGAGCGCTAGATTACTTAAACATGCACGGGTGACATTTAAAATAAGGTTTGCATTGGCTCCTCCCCAAAGTTTATATATCGCCACATGTTTTGGTTATGAAAATAGATGGTGGCAGGATGGTTGGTGGTTTAAACAGAATGCCTTTCAAAACACCCAAAGTGCTTTTAAATTGCATTATTCATTCATTCTTCACACACACAGTTTGTAAACAAGTTTTACATTCTATTTATTTATTGATTTATCATAAAATATAATATATCACCAGGACTCTTCTATTCTTCAACTTCTTCTAATGCACACGAATAAATGGTGAAAACAGATTTACCTCTCTGTCATCATTTGAAGAGTGCAAACATCAAAATCTTGCATTTCATTATATTCATGGGTATAAATTGGACATTTTAAGCAGATTCTATCAAATGTTTCCTTTGTGAGAATACTGCTAAAACTGATAAAACATCCCACTATTGTTGATTTATTGTCTCCTGAAAATAAAAAAAAGTCAGTCATGTTTTTGTCAAGGTGTTTTTCACTGTGGTAGCCGCTGCCACTGTAAACTCACCGTGATCCACCTCTGCACATAAACTCCCCCTGCTGTTTGTCACTATAACTAATGCTGCAACATCAGGAGGATTTCATGATCACTGACACACACACAACTAGAATCTGAACAGACACACACTTGAATCAAATGTGATGTTTTAATTGTTGTTTGTTGTTTCATGTTTGTCTTGTGAATCTAGTTAGTCTAGTCTAGTATTATGCACATAAAACAGTGACACAGGTTATAAACAAATGCAAATGATTTGATCTGAATCTATGAGTCATTGTTCACTGATATGTCTATCTGTAGATGACACACAAACACATGAGAGAGTCACAGGGAGGAGCTGAACAAAAACTACACTGGAAATAAAGACAGTTCTGATCTGTTAGTGGTCTAAATGGATCCATAAAACCAATAAATATTAATACCATTTTCATCTTCTGACGTTACATTCTGTTACAGCTTTCTCACTGTCAAACACAAAACATAACAGTATCCTGAAAGAAATCATTGCTATTTCATTTTTTCCACTATATAGATATAACATAGTAAAAGCAGAGCAGTGGGGGTGTTAGGGGGATGTTATAGATGCACCGGGACACGGGCTGCATCTGTGGATAAAGTAATATAGAGACTTGAGTTCAGGTTGCATGTTGCTGTGCTGTAGTTGAAGTTTAAAATATTTTAACTATGACCTGAGTATTGCCATATCACAACTCTCCTCTGGTGATTGTAGCTGATGGAAAACTAACACATATAAAAGAATCTTGGATGAAAGAATGAAACTAAATATTATCAGCTCCATGTGCATTATGATTTTAACTTAGAGTTTGTTTGTTTTTTTGTGGTTTATAGCTCTATAGCTGTAGAAGTATTTCAGGATTGTAGATGCTCCTGCACTCATGTTTTTGTCATGGTGTTTTTCACTGTGGCCGCTGCTATATGCACAATGATTCACCTCTGCACAGAAACACTGAACTGTCTGTCTGTCACTCTAACTGCTGCTCAGCTCGAGCTCAGGACGATTTCATTATTAGTCTAATTTCACTGTGAAACCACTTTACTAATTCTTAAATTTGTATATATGTTAACTTGCACCAACTTTTTAAACTTATTATAGAATTTAACTTAAATGCTAGAAAACTTTTGAAATAAATTTCCCCATACACATTTATGATCATTATCAATATTATTTTAGTTTTTTTTTCTACATACAAATACAGTTTTCTGTATTCAGTCTTTTACCTGGTGTCCACACATAGAAAAAGTCTCTCATGTTGCTGTGTGACTGGTTTGCTGTGATGATCACACAGAAGAAGTCATTTGGTCTTCATCCTGAGAAAGAAAAAGCCTGAATAGATAAAATACATGAAGTATAAAATGTCTGACTTAAGATCATATCATGTTTATTGTCTTTGTCATTGTCAGATGAACAATTCTTCCTGATCCCAACTCATTATGGACCAAGCAGCACATATGGGATAAACTGATAAACTGTGCATAGGACGCCCTCTCTGGTACTTACTGTGAATTGCACTCTTTACTGTTTTTGTACAGCTCTACATATACTTTGTGTGACTGTGGCTCTCGAGCACAGTAGTACACTGCAGTGTCTCCAGGCTGCATGTTCTGTCCATTCAGAGTCACTGTTTTTGTGGAAGTGTCTAAATCAATACTGAATTTGCTCTTCAGAGAATCTTTATAGTGAGAGCCTCCTGTGTATTTCATTCCAATCCACTCCAGGCCTTTCCCAGCAGGCTGTCTGATCCATGCTGTCCAGTAGCCAAGAGAGTATGAGACAGTACAGGGGATGGTGAGAGTGTGTCCTGGCTGCACAGTCACAGAGGTTGGCTGTGTCAGTGTCTCACACTTCACACCTGTGGAGGACAGAAATGTGTTGAGGAGATGCTTCAATAACAGGAGCATTGTGTGTAAGTGGAGCTGATGTTGAGTGTGAAAGAGGAAAACTCACAGATCAGACAGAGAGCAGCCCACAGCAGAGTGAGTGTGTCCATCCTGAGACTGCACATGTGAGCGAGGAGGAGCAGCAGCACACTATGTACTGTACACACATTTACATCTGCTCTGCATACACTCCTCCTCTCACTGACACAATGAAAAAACTCCCATATAATGAACAACAAACTGAAAATGCATGTTATTTTCATACTATTAATATATTAACATTTCCACAATATATTGCACTTGTTGATTATTAGTCATCATTATTTTTTATCACATCACAGTTTTAATATATTCACAGTAAAGAATGTACTAAGATCTGTAATAGTCCAGTGTTTCCTAGACAAAATGTTGCCGCACACTGATAATACTGAAATTAAACAATGTCCACAATCCATATTTAATTATCAAAAGTAAACAATAGACCTGATGCTAAAATGTCTACAGTTTATTGAAATTATACTTAGGTTAACATTAGCAGCATGTATGATCTTGGTTGGCTTCAGCAGCAGTGAGAATGTTTCAGAGCATTATGGCATCGGACAGGGCTGCTCTTTATCAACTATTCATTTTGGCTATGTTCAGACTGCAGGGCTTAACGCTCAATTCCGATTTTTTTGTGAAATCCGATGCTTTTGCAAGTTCGTTCACATTTCCAATTAAATGCGACTTGTATGCGATCCCCTGTGTGAACGTTAAACGGCCCAAAAGTGTCCCGCATGTGCACTGGAGACACGACGACGTCAACCGCAGCGAGCGTGCTCTGTGTTTACAGAAGTTGTCCAAACATGGTCGCAGCATTGAGCACCTGGCGATTTTAAAGTTCCTCTTGTACCTGAGCCAGAACATGAGCAACTTATTTGTTTTAAGGAGGAGATTGAGAAGGAGAAGGACGAGGTTTTTGGCCGTGGTGTTTTGTGGGACAGCAGCAGCGGACGTCTGTTGAAAGGAACGTGTGGATGTGGAGACGTAGTCAAGAGTGGTGAGTGGTGATGTGTTTCACTTCAGTGACACGGAGTTCATTAACAATTTTCGCCTACTTCAGCGCAGAATAGTGACGTTTGTGGCTTGTTGATAACGTGTAAGTCGAATGAATGCGCTTTGACTGTTCACACTGAAGTCGCATGTCAAAAGATCGGATATGTATCGGTTTCAGGACCACATATCCAAGTGTCCTGGGTTCGCATTTGAAAAAATCGGATCTGTGTCGTTCAGACTGTCATTAAAAGATCAGATACAGGTCACATAGAAGCCAAAAAATTGGATTTGGGTCACTTCAGGCTGCAGTCTGAACGTAGCCTTAGTTACATTTATAAAAAGAATTTCAGTTTTATTAAAAGACAAGATCAGAAAAATCATATTATTGAAACTGACTGCAATAGTTCTTTTTATCATTCAAACATGTCTAGTAATGCTAGTATTGACCCACTTCTATCATGGGTTTATTTCAAACATTTTTTAAATGTAATTCTATTTGCCTGATGTAAAATAATAATAATAATTTTAATAGACTTCCGCTCTGTCATCTCAGTTTGTGTACAGCTGTGGAGCTCTCTGCACCACTGTGCCTCTCGTGCACAGTAATAAACAGCCGTATCTCCTTCCTTTGCACTGTGAAGTTGTAAATACACAGTGTTTGTTGAAGTGTCTTTTGTGATAGAAAACTGGCCCTGGACACTTTGAGCAAATATGGTGCCTGTTCCACTGTCAATGCGACCGATCCAGTCCAGTCCTCGCCCTGGTTTCTGACGAATCCAGTGCAGCCAAGCTAAAGAGAGCCCCTCCACTTTACAGGACAGTGAGACAGACTGTCCCGGGCTGGTGACCACTGGCTCTGAAGAGGTCAGAGACTGGGCCTGGACCACTGGAAAACACAGAGAGTTGAAATGGTGTAAAGTGCTGTTTGTGCTGTAGATGTGTTCAGTGTCTGTACCCACCTGGAATAAGAGCCCAGAGGAACACAGTCACTGCTCTCCCCATCATAGTGGAAACTTGAGGAGCTCTGCAAAGACTCACTTTCACTTGGGCTCTATAAAGAGAGTGGGTGTGGCAACGTTCTGACTATTTACAAGTATTT